TTTCCGTACCAACTATTCCTCCCCCCTCCCCCCCCCCCCCTCCTCTCTCGGTTGAGTAATATGAAGAAGAAGTTGTTATTCTTGCATGACGTAAACCACATTATACTGGGAAACAATATCGTAAATTCGCTGCACCTCCTCGAACTTCGGGCGATGCGTCGTGATCGGTACCCGCTGCACCCGCGGATCCTTCGCACTAATCGGGGATGGTTTCACAACGCCCGCGGCGGGCGGCGGCAGCGAAGAAAAATCAGTCAAAATCGCGAGATTTTGCGGACCCGGGGCGGCGTGTAAAATCACCGAGGCTCGGTCGATATACGGCTGCCAAGCTAAGATAATATCCCGCACATCCACCTTCCACTCCAACTCCTGCGCGGCGCGGATCATCGAGCCCGCGCTATGGTAGCTCCCGCTGCCATCCTTAGCGTTGGTCGATTGCTTCCCCCCTTGCTTCTTCCGCACAACGTAGCGCTGAAAGGCCTTGTGGAGGACGCACCTCCCTTCGACAAACACCCCACCGGCGAAGTAGCCCCCATGGCAGATTAAAATCACCCAAATCAGATCGGGAAAGCGTCGAAGCCGCGAGGCCAGTTGAGGGGAGATGTTTCGAGGGAAGTTCGCATCCGCCTCGGCCTTTTCCCGCGCGATCTCCGCCGCCTCGTAGTCATTCACGAGTTTGGAAGAGAGGTATGAAACGCCATCGGTTTCGTCGTCGTTGCTGGGGTCTTCTAGTGGATCCAGATTCAACTCTTCTGGGGAGGCCCGTTGGTTTTTCATCGCGTGTCTTCCAAGGTCGTTCATCCCCATTTCGTTCACGCCCGCGGTGGGTGGCAACGCGTCCTCGACTACCGGTTTCCCCCCCCACAACGCCAACAACACCCCGCGATATAATTCGATTCGACAGCAACAGGTATAACCTTCGTATTCCACCTCCCCCGCGTAGTAGACGGCGGCGAGGGCGGAGTTTGGCAAGGGCTCGCAGCGTTGATACCCCAACGCACACGGCGGCATCCCGACCTCCCGGCAGTCATCCCGCCGCGCGATCTCCACGACGGATCGTGAAACCACCTCCCCCTTCGACGACCCTCCATCCACCCCGCTGGTTGTCGTCGTGGAAGGTGGAATCTCCTCCACCGCAACCTCCACGGAGGAGGGGGTGGTGGCTCCAATCTCACCAAGAGGATTCACCTGCGGAGGCGAGGGTTTCTTACTAGATTTGCTTTTCTTTCCATTTTCACCCTTGGAGGCCTTTTTCTTGGCTTTTAGTTTGAGCGCCGCCTCGGCCTGCGCGATCTCATCCTCAACATCGCCCCCGTCTTGGGCTTCGGAGTCGTCAAAGTTAAACGAAAAGGCGTTGCGGCTTGCCACCGCGATCTGCATGCAGCGATCCTTTTCTTTCTCCACCGCGATCTCCAGCCCTGCGAGCTTCATCGCGATTTCTTCGATCCGACTTCCACTGAACTCCCGCAAGGTCGCGCGCGCTGTGGAGAGCGATTGCGTGTTTCTTTCATAACGATTCTGGGCCTCATACGCGTTTCGAGGGCACATCTTCAGAGATTGCTCCACGGCATGCAGGATGTTCTCAACATTGGAGAGGCTCATGGATCCCCTCTACCGTGTGGATCGACCGGGATAGCAAATGTATCTGAAGCTTTGCGACCTATCGCTTTGCCCGCACGATCCTACGCGGTGCGTATTTGATAATGATCCTGTTTATAAACGTCCTTTCGCTATCTGTCGAAAGCAACTAAAAATGAAGAATGCGGAAGGATAATCCAAAGGCAAACAGCACGGAAACAGGTGCCACACACACCTGGGGTTCAACAATAGCTGTGAATCCAGATTTTCCTTCATCGACGAGATTTCATTGATTAAAATAAGAATCCGAAATAAACTCCGTTACTGAGACGCAGGAAAGAATGTATCCAAACAGTTAAACTGGGAAAACAGCTCTGCACTAAAGAAACACACTTTAACGGCTATGATAAAAATAACAGCGCAACAAAGATCGAATAAATCATGAAGCAGAGTTACACGATAAATAACATTTTTCTCTATGTAAAGCGGAGCCTCGTGAGAGCTGCAACAACAGGTTTAATAATAATACTAACAATAATATTAGCACTAGTCTCTCCACCAAACCCTATCTTTTACTATTTAAAGGAAAGAAAACTCACGATTCCATCTAATCCTCCTACATATCTATGAGTCTATTCTAAAAACTGAGCTCCACCTCCGCGACGGTGGAGCCGTGGCTCCGCCCGTGGGCGAGCTCCGCCTGCCGGGTTCGCCAACTCGCCGTGGGCAGGGCGTAGCTCGGCTCGTCGCGCGCCTTCCGCGCGCTTTTCGACGCGTTCGCCAGCGGCGAAGGCAGCGCGGGGGCGGTCGAGGTGGAAATCGACATGCCGCCACGCGCCTCCCAGGCGGGCTCCCGCCCCTGCGGATCGTTTCGCCCCTCCTGGTTGAGCGAAGGGGGGTGATGCCCGAGAATCACTGTGGGAGGGGGGGGTAACACCTTCACCGCCTTTTTTTTCCCTTCGGCCGGCGCGGAGGCGAGGGGGTCGTGGGGAAACCCCCTGCCCCCCTCCAACGAGGTGGATCCGACGGAGCTATTCGCCGTCGCCG